TATTTAAAATGAGGAATAAGATCTATTTATCTAAATAATTTTAGGACTTATCAAGCTTTTGTACCTTTTTATTACAAAGTTTTCATATGGATGAAACTTTTCATTAAATGAAAGAACTAGTTAGAACCTGTTTATCCTATTTTGCATAAATAGGGTTTTCTTATTTTACATAAAATTTTTAAGAGATATCAACTCAAGCTCTGGTTCACACTGGTTCACTCATGGCATGGGTGGGTAGAGAAGGCCATGCCACAAAAGGATCCACAGAAGGACACTGAAGAGGTCAGATGGGTCTTCTCTTCTGTGCAGAGCACTGCGGTCATCAGCCTGCTGGGTCCATGTCACTGTCACCTTTCAACACCAGTCCATTCTCATGGTGCTGAGTGAGGAGGTGGTGATAGAGGAGATGGTCGTATCTTGTTGTTCAGTCACTAAGTTGTGTCCAGCTCTTTGTGACCCCATTGCCTGCAGCACGTCAGGCTTCCCTGTCCTTCACTGTGTCCTGAAGTTTGTTCAAACTCAGGTCCATCGAGTCAGTGTTGCCATCCACCCATCTCATCCTCTGTCACCTTCTTCTCCTCCTTCCCTCAATCTAACCGAGCATCAGGATCTTTTCCAATGAGTTGGCTCTTCACATCTCATGGCCAAAGTATTGGAGCTTCAGCATCAGTCCTTCCAGTGAATATTCAGGGTTGATTTCCTTTAGGATTGACTGGTTTGATCTCCTTGCTGTCTAAGAGAATCTCAAGAGGCTTCTCCAGCACCACAGTTTGAAAGCTTCAATTCTTCAGCACTCAGCCTTCTTTATTGTCCAACTCTCGCATCCACACATGACTACTGGAAAAACCATAGCTTTGACTAGATGGACATTTGTCTGCAAAGTAATGTCTCTGCTTTTTAATATGCTGTCTAGGTTGGTCATAGCTTTTCTTCCTAGGAGCAAGTGTCTTTTTATTTTCATGGCTGCAGTCACTGTCCACAGTGATTTTGGACCCCCCAAAAATAAAATCTGTCACTGTTTCCACTTTTTCCCCATCTATTTGCCATGAAGTGATGGGACCAGATGCCTCCCGAAAGCCAGAACATTTTTCCTTTTGTCAGTGTTCTGAAATTTTTATTAAACACTTTATCTGTTCTGATTTATTTGCTTTTGGTCAAGGTGAGCTTATATCTTCATCGTTTGAACCCTAAGGAAGTGGCAAATGTGTGGGGGGGTGTTGCCCAGCTCTCCCATGTGCTGCTCAGAATGTCAGCAGGTGGGCTGGTGGAAGGAGCACACAGCTGTTCCCAGGCGATAAAGAGGAGAGGAAATTGTGTCCTTGACTTTATTTTATTTTCCTTGGTATGTGTGTGGTGTTGTGCCAAGATCTTGACTTTTCTTCTGTATTTCTTTAGTTTTAGGAAAAGTAACTTAATTTGATTCTAAAATGTAATCTGATGTTTTTACTCTTAGGGGCTGGAGAGGATTAATTCTTGCCATTTGCTATGTGTCTGGGCAGTGAGTGTCCTGGGGGTGGGGGCTTTGGGTCTTGTCCCTTGCCCCTCCCAGGGCCTGTCACTTAGCAATTACTCTGTACATACATTTTGATGAGTCAGAGAGTACATGAATGTCCAAAGTGCAGGCACAGCATTGCTGACTGAAGAGACAGTCAGGCAGCAAGTTCGCTTTTCTACAGCCTAGTTCCTTCCCAGGATGATTTTATATAGGTTAATCTTCCTGTATGTAAAATCTTTCCCATGTATAAAATTGATATAGCACATGCCTTTTACATGACCCAGTAGCCAGTACAGGTTATTTGTTGGGAGCCTTGGTCAGACATAGGGAGGTACTAAGGAGCTTTCTTTTTTTTGTATTTAAAAAACTTTTGTCTCCTTTGGGTCTTTGTTGCCACGCATGGCTTTCTCTAGTTGTGGCAAGTGGGCTTCTCGTTGCAGAGCATGGGCACTAGGCTGCATGGGCTCAGTGGTTGTGGCACACAGGCTTGGTTGCCCTGTGAAGTGAAAGTGGCTCAGTTGTTTCTGACTCTTTGTGACCCCGGGGACTGTAGCCCATCAGGCTCCTCTGTCCATGGAATTCTCCAGACAAGAATACTAGAGTGGGTAACCATTCCCTTCTCCAGGGGATCGTCCCAACCCAGGGATCAAACCAGGGTCTCCTGCATTGGCAGGTAGATTCTTTACCATCTGAGCCACCTGCCCTACAGGATGTGGAGTCTTCCTGGACCACAGATCAGACCCATGTCCGCCCACTGTATTGGCCCATGGATTTTTAATCGCTGGACACCAGGGATGTCCTGAGTTTAAAGCGTAGTGTCATTTAAAACATACAGTTTGGTGGTTTTTAGCATCTCTATAAGCTTGTGCCCCTGGTGGCTCCAAGGATAAAGAATATGCCTGCAATGCAGGAGACCAGGATTCAATTTCTGGGTGGAAAAGATCCCCTGGCGAAGGGAATGGCAACCCACTCCAGTATTCTTGCCTGGGAAATCCCATGGACAGAGAAGCCTGGTGGGCTACAGTCTGTGGGAGTCACAAAAGAGTCAGATACAACTTAGTGACTGAACAACAAAAAATATTCCATTATATGGATGTATAGTTTGTTTATCCATTCATCAGTTGATGGACATTTGGGGTATTTCCACTTTTCGGCTATTATGAGTAATATTGCTATGAACATTTGTATAGTAGCCAAATATTTTTACATTTTCACTTTTTGTCACTTTAGACCAATGTATGTACAAGTACACAATTTTGACTCCTTTTAGAATCCAGAGATAAGATTTATTTATGGCAGTAGAAATACATGGAGCAGAATAAGCTAAAACGGGTAGTTACAAGAAAGCACTTGTTCATGCAGCCAGGGTCAATTTTAAGGAAGTTAAGCTTAAAATAATTTTTGCTATATTTTCATTTAATTAGTAATTTTCTGCATATGTACCTAAAATATGCATTAATATGTGTATTTATCATTTCAGTTACAATGGTGTGATTGACTGGAAGTTTGAATCTATGTAAATTCATCTATTTCTTCCATGCCAGTCTTTGCAGTCGGTGATGGGGACAGAATGGCATACAAATGGGGTCTGTGCCCCTGAAATACTGACGTCCAGTCTTGCTGAGGGTCAGAGCATGTGTGTGAGGACTTCCAGCCTGTGGCACAATGTGGCACCCTCTGCTGGGAAAGCACATGGCATCTTGGGAGCGTCAGCCTCCACAGTAGTTGTGGCACACAGAATGTATGGAATCTAGAGGAGGAATGGATGTAGATAATCTGGAGGAGGGGGTGTGGAAAGGAGGAGGAGGTGGGATGCAGGAGGGCAGGGAAGGAAGGGCGGGTCTAAGCAGAACGTTCAGCATGGCCAGTGCATCACCTACAGTTCAAGGTGAGGCGTGCTGGGAACTGAAGATGAAAAGAGCAGAGAGAGGCCTGGTACCCTGATAATGGCATTAAGTGGTTTGGACTCCACCCCAAGAGCTGGGAAGTCATTGAAGGGTGCTTTGTGATCTGCATTTTCCATTTTGGTTACTCAAGGGCATGTTGGGTGGAGGGTGGGGGCAGTAAGAGGGCAGGTCATCTGCCGTGAGGGACAGTGGGAGACTTGAGGATGCAGGGTAGTCGGGAAGAGTCACTGTGGGGAACAAGGTGAGCAGGTGGCTTGGCGCAGCAGCTTCTGGGCCAAAGATGAGTATCTTAAATCTGCATCATGAGACGTCATGGAGGGACATGCCCCCAGGGATGTGGTAAAGCCCTGCACTGGCATGGTTGTGGTTCAGTATGTCCCTTGCCTTAATTGAACTGGGTTGAACTGAGTTGCCTTAATTGAACTGGAAATGCCAGTAAAAGTAGAGAACAGAAGCTGCCAAAACAAACTCTGTGGATGATCCTTCATTCTCGTCACAGTCAAAAGTCAGCAGCTCCCCTGTTGATTTCATATATTTGCTATTTATTCTTTGAAATCCAAAGCCTGGAAGAGAAGCTAATTACTTCCCTGTTGCCCAGAATCAAAAAGTCAGGGTTGGTAGGGGAGGGGGATGGTAGGGGCAAGGGTACACAACTGAGCTGTTATTTTGTAACTTTCAGGAGGCCAGGTATCTCAGTTCCTAGAGTCAGAGGGGAATTAAACAGAGGGCCAGGCAGGAAGGAGGAGGTGACCTACCTTGTGAGATAGTGTGAGGACCTCAGGACTCACATGCTTGTAAGCTTTGCTCAGTGAGGAGCTGAGGCTGGAAGAACCAGGTGACTGGTCAGGGGCCAGAGAGCAAGAGATGGTGAATATAAAGTAAGTCTGTCTTATTGCAAATCCGTGGTCTTCCTGCTCCACCAAGGCGTCCCCTGAAGTGACATGCTGAGAGTCTGGACAGAGGTGAGGTGGCAGTGGGCCTGCCGGGTAAGGGGTGGGAGGCTGCATAACAGTGATGATTAGCTTGTTTAGTAAACTCCCCTTAGACCGGTGGCCCTCCTAGGGACTAAGAGTTGGATTAACCTCACTTTCCTGGCCATCGGCATATGGGTATTGTTGCTGCAGCTGAGAGGTACCATGTCGTGGTTTGAGGCAGCTGGGTACATTTCCTACTGTGGCACAGCCACACTTATGGCCCTGGCAGCCCTCTGAGAGGCTGCTGAGTCTGCCTGCATTCAGCCAGCTTTCCCTTCCAGCTCAATGACAGGGCTGGCTCTTGGGGGAGTAGACAGCATGCAGAGGTGAAGCCATGCTTTTAAGGTTTCACCAAACATGCAGATGTCAGAACCACCAAGACCACTTTGGCTCCCCTCCTGGAGAATGTAGGGGGAAGATCCCCAGGAGGAAGGCATGACAACCCACTCCGGTATACTTGCCTGGAGAATCTCATGGGCAGAGAAGCCTGGCAGGCAATAGTCCATAGGATCACACAGAGTCAGACATGACTGAAGCAACTTAGCACACACATGCCTAATGGCTGAGCACATGACTTTTGTTTTCTCAGGGCAGTGACTCGTGGCTTTTCAATTCTTTGTCCAGGTATGTACCCTTCAGCTACAGCACCCCAGGAGGCTGACAGTGGCCGGAAGCTGACTCACCTGCTGAATGCCGTGACGGACGCTCTGGTCTGGGTGATTGCCAAGAGTGGCATGTCCTCTCAGCAGCAGTCCATGCGCCTGGCTAACCTGTTGATGCTCCTCTCTCACGTCAGGCACGCCAGGTACGATCCCTGTGGGGTCTGCTCCACTGGGTGTGTGGTGGGAGGGAGGGTGCAGATGCTCACAGAAGGGTGAAGAGCTTTGGAAAAAGGGTTTTGCAAGTTCAAGATGGATGAGGTAGAATTGCCACCTTTAAGGGAAAATGAACTCCTGAAAGGGAAGGCAGACATCATCACTATACACGCTGATGGCCCTTATAGGATGCGGTCGTTATAGCAGCTTTATAGTGTCTTGTTACCCTGCCCAAGCTCGCTCTGCTTGCCGTAAGCTAGATGGCAAGAGACGAGTTGTTGAGGCAAGGAATACAACTTTAGGCTGACCAAGAAGATGGCAGACTAATGTCTCAAAATAACTATCTTTTGAGGGTCTGGATGCCAGGTTCTTCTATAGATCAGAGGTGGGGGGAGATGAGGAAACAATGTAAGAGTATTAATCTTGCAAAATATCTCCTAGAATTCAGACCTCGGGCAGGGGATGTGTTAGTGCCTTCCTTCCTGCTGCCTACAGGTGGACCGGGTCCTGAACAAAGACTCTTTAGTAAGTTGGGCACAGGGGCAGGATTCTCTGAGGCAGGTCATCATGTGTCATTATAACAAAAGCAACAGAAAGCAAGTCAAAGACACAGTTCCAACATGGAGCCAGAATTGGCTTTTCCCTGCAACATTGTGCTGGCTTATCTGGTTTTCAGTTGCTGTGGATTTTAGCTTGTTTGTGGATTCTGAAAGGGGCAGTTAGTTCCTCCCCTAAAGTGAGCTGCCCCATCTTCCTGCACTACACAGGGCTGGGGTCCTGAGGTGTTTTCTTAAAGAGGTTAAACCCAGCTTCTCTAGATCAGCTCTGGGGCTGGTGATCTGGGGTGATCACAAAGGCTTCCTTAAGAGTCATCCTTTTCTTGCTATAGAAAGGGATATTATATATCCTTGCAACACATCCCCTGCCCGAGGTTTGCCATTCTAGGAGATATTTTGCAAGATTAATGGCCTTTTTATTTTTGTTTCCTCATCTCCCCCCAACTCTGATCTATAAAAGAACCTGGCATCCAGACCCTCAAAAGATAGTTATTTTGAGACATTAGTCTGCCATCTTCTTGGTCAGCCTAAAGTTGTATTCCCTGCCTCAGCACCTCGTCTCTTGCCATCCATCATATGGCAAGTAGAGCTAGCTTGGGCTTGTTAACAAGACACCATAAAGCTGCTATGACAACCGCATCCTATAAGGGCCATCAGTGTGTGTACTGACGATGCCCGCCTTCCCTTTCAGGAGTTCATTTTCCCTTCAAGGTGGCAAGTCTACCTTATCCATCTTGCAATATATCAGGATACTAAGAGAACTAGTGAGCCCAGTAGGTTTGGGAAGGTAGGGCATGGGTAGGGTGTATCCAGGAAATGGACGTTGTGTGCGCTCAAGGAGGGAGATGGTGTCTGATGGTGGCTTCATGCCAGTGCCGTAAGGCTCAGTGCCGGCCGTCACCCAGGAGGAGGGTGGGGTGCTGGGGCTGGACAAGGGGAGAAGAGGAAGGAAGGTAAATGCTCCCTGGAGGAGGAGGAAAGTCTCAGGGCGGTGAGAAAGGACAACACACTCAAGAATTTTACCAAGGGGGAGGAAGTGGAAATGAGCTCTGCTCTGCTTACTCTTTAATGATTACTCAGCACACGACCATTTGCAGAGCAGAAACAGTCCATCCTCGTTAATCACAGATCCTCTACTTGTGAATTTGCCTGCTTGCTAAAATGTATTTGTAACCCCCAAATCAATACTCGTGATGCTTTTGAGGTCATTTGAGGACATGTGCAGACTGGCCGAAAGTTTGAGTTAGCCACACTTAAGTTCCCAGCGGAAGTCATACCAGGTGCTGCTTGCTCTGCCTTCTCATTTCTGCTCTCAGAGTGTAAACAAGGGTGTGTTATATGGTCTATTTAGTACCTTGTTTTGGCATTTTGTGCTTTGTTGGAGACTTCACAGTCTAAAAAGGATCCCCAAGAATAGTGCTAAAGTACTGTCTAGTTCCTAAGTGCAAGAAGCCTGTGATGTGCTGACAGAGAAAATGCATGTTAGATAAGTTTCATTCAGGAATGAATTTTAGTGCTATAGGCTGCAAATGAAAATGTTAATGGATCAACGATTTATGTTAAATAAGGCCCTTTAAATAATAACTCAGAAGAAACAAGATTATGTATTAATGGGCTGATGAAAAGGTTGGGACCAGGATCTCTCAGAACCTAACCCTTATTTCTCCCAGGAGCAATGGTTCAGTGTTTTCAAAGACCATGAAGATGTAACTATGGTGTTCAGAGATCCCATCACACTATGGGTCAAGTTGTTGGGGGTGGGTGGTGGGACACCATAGTCCACGGGACATTGGCTTCGTCCTCACCTGCAGATCATTGGAGGAGCCAGATGTAAGAACCATAGAGCAGAGGGCTGGCGTCGTGCTGGGGTGAAGGTGAGGACCAGCTCCATGGGGGAGAGTCGGGGAGATATTAGGCTTCCTGTGGCTGCTTTAGGAAGGAATCTCAGCACCTTTTTGTCTTTCCAGTAACAAAGGCATGGAACACCTGCTCAACATGAAGTGCAAAAACGTGGTCCCCGTCTATGATCTGCTGCTGGAGATGCTAAATGCCCACACGCTTCGCGGCAACAAGTCTTTGGTCACAGGGTCTGAGCGCAACCTGGTGGAGGACAGTGAGAGCGAAGAGGGCTCCCAGAACCCCCAGGCTCAGTGACGCCCAGCCCCGAGCTGTGGTCAGGCTGCAGAGAAGGTCAGAGGCTGAAGCGTGAACTCCAGCATAAACCGTGAGCCTCGCCAGAAGGGGGCGGGCTTCCTTGGCTTTCTGCCATGTGGTCCTTCCTGTGGCTCCTCAATGCCATCCTTCCCCGACCTCCCCATCTCCTGGGTGTCAGGGAGCAAAAGCCAGTGCTCCTTCTCATCAGGGGGCAGAGTTTGAGCACAGAGTTTATGTCTGGCTTGGCCTCATGGGGGCTCATTGTGGTCCCTCCGTTACTTCCCATCTCCCTCCCACTCTTTGGAAAATGTCTTCGGGATTTTGGAGTGACTGGAGGAAACTGACTTGGAAGGGCTGTCAGGGGAGAAAGGGGAGAAAATGTAGGACATGCACAGAAGGGGACTAACCTTTTCTGTGCCACTTAAGCTGCCCTTTGAGTAGTCCTTTGTATGCTGCCTTCTGGACCACTTGATTGTAGGGTTGAAAACCACAACGACCATCAGCTAACTGGTTCCACATGCCTGCCTCACAGGCCTGTGAGATGGATGGTCATACATTGCTATGATTCTGTCCAAGGCCAGAGGGAACGTGACCTAGGGAGCCAGTGGTCAGACTGGGGTGGGAGCCACATTCTTCCCCCAAAACCTTGCTGCCACCTTCCTGCAGGTTCACCCCTGTTGGTTTGCATTTAGAGAGCCTGTGAATTATTTGGGGTATGTGTGTGTGTTTTCACCTCCATGGAGAAGAAATGTGGAGATGTAAATACTCTGCTCCTGGAATTGCCTTTCTTAAAACTCTTGTGTCCAAGGAGTTCAGTACGTGTGCTGGAGAAAGGACCAGTGTTTGCAGGAATGGGGTTTCTCCTGTGGGTGTGGGTCACAGCCACCATGCTTCCCTGGGGTGGCCACAACTGCCACATCAGCCACCCAGGGGAGACAGGGACACTGCAGGCTGTGTGTGTGTGAGGTGTGCTGATCCACAGAAGGATGAATAGCTACACACACGTCAGCATCAGCGTGCCAGGTTCAGGATCAAACTGTATAGACGGGATGAGCACACCACTTGAACAAGATTGTGAGCTCTATTAGAAAAGAGAGATAGTTAGGATAATTATTTATAGCAAGGAAAAAGTCTTTTATACCCTAGGGCTCTTTTAAAATATTTTCTTATCAGAACATTTATATGGTGGGTTGGGTGAAATAAAAACTTAGTAAAATATTAATTCTTATTCCAAGTGGAACATAAATAGGACACGATGATAAAGCACCTCTGAAATTACAATTTTAACTCATTTTTTAAAAATTTAAGTTTTCGTACAAATTTTCAGGAGCATAGTGAATGCATAAAGCGAGTTTATGTCTATACTTTGGAAGAGAGCAGTTAGATAATCATGTGTGATTTTTGTGATGTTTTTAAAAATTACTTTGTAATAGGAGATTGAACACATTTTCTTTTTGAAAACAGTAAATACAGAATGTGCTCACCACAGTAAATCTAAGTCATTAGGAAGATTACATTCAATAACATAAGGTTGGTTTCTGCCAGTGTGATCTTGAATAATTGTTAATTTTGATATTGATGCAGTTTTACTAAAAATGTTGAGCAAAGCTGTATCAGAAACACTTGACCATGTACCAAGAAGAACACAGTGTTGAGGGGATTTGAAATTATTCTTAGTGACTCAATGTTGTAGCTTTAGTGAGATTCAGTACAGCAGATACTTTAGGTTTTATAGGAACCAAGGAACCAGTGTTTTTTGGGTCAATTTTCTTTCTTTCCAGTCAGTTTAGGACCCCCTATGGCAAACAAGGGGATGGAGGCTAGAGAGTGGGAAGTGGGAGGCAAAGAAGGCAGTTATTTGAAGAACAATTATTTGCTGATGAATTTCTCTTAATTGTATTTATAAAAAAGACTACCAGTTTGAAAAAAACAACATTAAAGAAAACAACAAAAATAATACAGAATGAGGTTCAAGCCACCACCCCATGACTGCGTAGTGGTTCTTCAGGTTGGATTTCGATGCCAAGGAAGGCATCCAACTGGTCTCGGGCGTCCAAGCTCCTGTCTGTGCCAAACCCTGTATGTCACCCACATGAGGCTCGCTGTCATGAAAACTCCTTCAGTGCCCAATGCCCATCTCCCACAAACACTCCTGTATGCTGCTTGAGGTTGCTTGTTTCACTGCATTTGGATTTAGCCCTTGAGGAGAAAGTTGACGCTTTTGGTCATTTCTTCTTGGCTGTGGTCTCACCTGATGTGCTGGGGATACAGGTGAGTGAGTCCAACCTGAGAGGCTGCCCTGGTGCAAGGCTGTCTCTTAGACTGGCATCTAGGCCAAGCAGGCAGCTGAGATAAAATGGTATGTAGTTCAAAGGTGTTCTTTGTTTTGTTTTGAATACCCTAGGGTCCTTTCCCCCTTTCAGATGTAGTGTGTACATCTGTTACCAGTCGCTCTAAATCCTTCCTCTAAGGATTGCAAACTGCAAAATCAGGCTGCTGTTTTTATGGGTTTTGAGTAAACCCTCCATGTTCGTTTTAAAGATGAGCCATTTCTCTTAAATAGTGCTTTCTCTTAAATGTCTTTTGGAGGGTATCTAACCACTCAAAGGGTTTCCCTGGTGGTTCAGACCGTAAAGAATCTGTGGGAGACCTGGGTTCAATCCCTGGGTGGGGAAGATCCCCTGGAGGAGGAAATGGCAACCCACTTCAGTATTCCTGCCTGGGAAATCCCATGGACAGAGGAGCCTGGCAGGTTATAGACCATGGGGTCACAGAGAGTCGGACATGACTGGGCAGCTAACACCAACCACCCAAATGGTCCATGGGCAACTTAAAATTCTCCCATAGCTAAGTACAGATTTCAGTGTTTTCAAGTTCAGTTTTTAAAAGGAATTAACTAGGGAGAATAGGACCTGTGACAACTGTCAATAAGAATTAACTGAGTATTGGGGAAAAAAAATTACCCACCCAACTACATTTTATGTCTCATGGAAAAGGGATGCTCAGCTTTGCCTTAGATTTGTATAGTGAGATTTCTTTCCTCCACTTTGATCATTTAATGTGAGAAACTTACTTGTGGGAGATAAGTGAGATTGGAGCTAAATTCCAAAACCATGTGTCTAATATAGGAATCATATGGAAAATTTTAATAAAATAATTAACATGGAATATTCTTAATACAGAAAGCACAGTGTTCACAACAGTGTTCACGCAGGTTCCCAGGAGAGCTGGCAGCCCCTAAAGAGAACCCTCATGGGCCCCCCGGCAGAATGCACCGTGAGCTGTCCTCCTCCTGACTCTGTCTCCCTCTGCCCTCATGGGACCCCGGCAGAATGCATTGTGGGTTGTCCTTCTGACTCTGTTTCCCTCTGCCCTCACTGCATCCTCTCGGTCTGGTCTCATGCCTCTCACATGCTCAGTGTCCACCAGGATTATCTACAAAGAATTCAACCCTAAAATAATTTTGAACTGATTTTTCTTCAAAAATTGTGGTAGGGAGAGAAAATTAAGTTGTTAGCTTAAAAACATTTCTGGAGGGTCTTAACTGTATTAAGAAATAATGCAAAATCAACAAAAGCTCTTCAGTGTGACAGTCTTTATCTGGGTTCCTTCCTTTGCTAACTCAGCTGGAAGGGCAATTATTTTTAGTTTCATAAAAAAAAATTATTAGTTTTCAATTCTTGGCAGAACTATGTTATATATTAATATATATAAGCTAAGTTGAAGCAATTCTAGAATGTTCTAGCGTGTGAAAGTTTATTTTAATCTGCTAAGAAACTTGCATATATTAACACTTTTTCAAATTCAAAGGTGAACCTTCAGTTTCTAGTCTATTTTGAAACCAAACATTTTTATATAAGATTTGACACATTTCTTTAAGCTGCTAAAAAATCTTAAAAGGACATTATAAAGGTTATATGAAGGAAATTATAAAAATACATTGTTTAATACCTAAAAATAGTATTTGTGGAACACAGACTGTGTGCCAGACGTGCTCAGTGCCTCATACATTCATATTTAATCCCCATACTAATTGCTGTTACCCCAGTTTTCTGGCTGTGGAAACTAGAGTTCTAAGCAGATTTGCTCAAAGTCATATAGGGAGTAAGTGACATATAGAGAGCTGAACGTAGGCAGTTGAAGTTCCAGTGCTGAAAGTAATCATTGCAACTTTAAAAAACTAAAGGAAAAATACTTTTAGACTGCAGAATCCATTTGTCAAATGCAGTCTTGACATGTGTGGCTACTCTGGTTTCAAAGTGGGATCTGCTTGTGGCCTCATTTCCAGAACACCCCTGTAGACAAGGAGTTCAGTCCCATCTTTTATACATGTGTAAAGCCCAGAGGGGTACACAGACCTGCCCAAGATCATACAACTACTTATGGCAGAGCTTGGACCCGAGTTCAGGTCTTCAGCCTGCCTGGCAAGCACCGCTCCTGCTACAGACTTGCTTCCACAGGAGGCTGCTGCTTGAGCGGAGTCTCAGTGCACGGAGCAGAGACGGTTACGTTGTGGTTGCTTCTACTGCACCATCTACCTTCTCCATGTCGATGGGGTCTGTACAAAGCTTTACAGAATAACAGCCCTGGAAACAGGTGGGAAAAAAGATGAATTCTCTCATCCCGGCCCTCTCATGCTGGGTCCCTAAGCTCGTGCGCAGCACTGTGGTCACCTCCTCCTGTCTGCCACTATTTGCCCAGATGTGTTGCTGTGAGGGAGATTCCCTGGAAACTTAACCTGTGTAAAATTCTCACACCTTTTAGGCACCGGTGCTTCCTCACCAAGTCTGGTCTACTGCAGCGCTTAAACACATGCATTTATTCGTATAGCTCTCCAAGTTGCTGGAACTTTCGCTCCCGTGGCAGCTGGAAGATGTGCATTCTCTGCAGTGTTATCCTTATAACCCTTTTTGTTGAATTGGAATCAAGGATCCTTTTTCTTTTTTTGAATGCCTATTTACTCGTGGGGCCAGTCAGTGTTCTGGGATGGTGGGCGTCCTTTATGGGAAAGACCAAGGTCTGATGATGCTAGCTCTGAACAGCTCCTGTGATCCTACAGTCTCTGCTGCTGCGTTTCTCTCTCTCTCTGCTGCGTGTGTGTCTAAGTGCCATGACTGTAGGTCCTGTAACTTTGTTATCTGATGATCCTGTGTACCTCAGAGCCCGCTGTAATTTACGATTTTTTTTTTTCGGATCAATGCTTTGTACCATTAAGCAGGCTTTTAATTATGGGCCTTTTGACAAATGAATGTTTGCTGTTGTGTGAAAGCAGATTTTGGTATCTGCTTTCCATTCCTCCAGGTATGACTTTTTCTTTGCTGTGTGCCTTTAATGTCTATGAGACAGTTGCAGAAAGAAGTTTAATGTGACATAAGCTAAATAAAGTGGTTTTTTTTTTTCATAGTTTTGGTTTTAGAAATGTATTTGTTGGGAATATAAGAACTTTCGATAATTGGGCTAAGTCATCAGTGTTCCCAATCTATTCTGAATTCTATTCTGTTTTAGGTTTGCAGAGCTCTTTAAGAATTTGATGAAAATCAGACACTGTTCTGGGAAAAAGGCACATAAACATAATGCTTACCTATCGAGTTAAGAGTCTCTGACTTAACCTTGAAGACTTTTTAAACAGCAGCAATTTAATCTTTAGTCAGCTAATTTCACACTTGTGATTTATGAACGAAGGCACTGTGTGATCAAGTAAAATGCGGCTCACGAATATAAAAGTCCTGGTATGCAATGCATCAGTTTAGGGCGTGACCTTCTAAACTTAAAGAAAAAGTGGTGGTGATATTTTCACTTAAATTTCCCTGTAGGGTTATTGTAATCTTTGAAAAGAGATGCATTATTTTAGAGTTAAAAGAGACTTGGAGGTTGCGTGGTAAAACAAAGACAGATTCCCTTCAGCTGGTCCCCTTACGCAAAGCTGCTGGTGAAGCGCGCACGTCCTGGAGTGTCTGAGCCGCAGCACAGCCACCAGCGGCGCTGAAGTCTGTGCTTCATCTGCTGACAAGCTGCCCTGGCTCCCCTGAGGTCTGCGCTTTGCAGAGACGAGAGCAGTATTGGGATTGCTTCACGTTCAGGTATCTCCTGAGTGTCAAGAGATGCAGGTTAGGACCAGGTAACCAAGCAACTGGATCAGTAACTTTTTTTTTTTTAATATTCTTTTCCATTATGGTTTATCATAGAATATTGAATATAGTTCTCTGTGCTATACAGTAGGACCTTGTTTATCCATTCTTTACATGAAAGCTTACGTCTGCTAACCCCAACCTTTCACTCCATCCTTGCCCCAACCCTCTCACCTTTGGCAGCCACCAGTCTTTTCTCTGTGGTTCTGTTTCTGTTTCATAGGTAGGTTCATTCGTGTCACAGTTTAAATTCCACATATAAGGGATACCATATTGTCTTTCTCTTTCTGACTTAGCATGATAATCTCTAGTTGTATTTATGTTGCTGCAGCTGGTGTTATTTTGTTCTCTTTCATAGCTGAGTGATATTGCATATATGTAACATATCTTCTTTATTCATGCATCTGTTGATGGACGTTTAGGTTGTTTCGATGTTTTGGCTACTGTGAATAGTGCTACTGTGAATATTGCCCCTGTGAACACAAGGGTGCATTTTTCTTTATGAATTATAGTTGTCTGGATATATGCCCAGGTGACTGACAACTCTATTTTTAGCCTTCCTAAGGAGACTTCATACTATTTTCCCCAGTGGTTACACCAATTTACATCCTCACCAACAGTGTAGGAGGTTCCCTTTTTTCCACACCCTCTCCAGCATTTGTTATTTGTTGATTATTTTACTGAGGCATAATTGATTTACAATGTTGTTTGTTTTAGGTGTTTAACAAAGTGAATCTGTTATATATATATCCACTCTCTTTTAGATTCTTTTCCCATATAGGTCATTACAGAGTTCCCTGTGCTATACAGTAGTAGGTCCTTATTATCTGTTTTATATTTAACTGTGTGTCAATACCAATCTTCCAATTTATCCATTTCCAATTTATCCAATCTTTCCAATTATCCTTACCCCTCAGTAACCATAAGCTTATTTTCTAATCTGTAACTATTGTTTTTGTAGATAAGTTCATTTGTAGCTTTTTTAGATTCCACATATAAGCCTTATCATGATATTTGTCTTTCTCTGACTTACTTCACTCAGTATGAAAATCTCTAGGTCTATCCATGTTGCTGCAGAAGGTATTAGTTCTTTTTTTATGGCTGAGCAATATTCCACTGTGTATATATGTGTGTGTGCGTATGTACACACAAACCACACCTTCTTCACCCCTTCCTCTGTTGATGGACACTTAGGTTGCTTCCATGTTGCTGGCTATTGTGAATGGTGCTGCAGTGAACATAGGGGTGCACAGTAGGCTTTTTGATGATGGCTTTCTGTGTGAGGTGGTACCTTGTAGTTTTGATTTGCTTTTTTCTAGTAATGCTGACCATCTTTTCCCATGCCTATTGGCCATCTGTATTTCTTCTTTGAAAAGATGTCTATTTAGGTCTTCTGTCCATTTTTGGATTGGGTTTTTTTGTTGTTGAGTTGTACGAGCTGTTTGTATATTTTGGAAATGAAGCCCTTGTTGGTTGCATCGTTTGCAAATACTTTCTCCCATTCTGTAGGTTGTCTTCTTG